TGTTCCCTCTTCTGGCCTTGGAGTATCAGCCTTGTAATACCACCAGTTTTCCTCCTGGTGGTAGAAAGGCTTCTAGCCACAGCTGGACTACATACTTCCACATTCACATCCAGCGAGGGGAGATGGGAGAAGAGGTCTTCCCTCGCCTTCCAAGTAGGCATGCTGAGCTCCATCCTGATTCACATTGCTACCTTGGGCCATAGGTTCACCCTTGAGCCAATGACAGGGCCAGAGAAGTGGATTGTGACTCCCAGCTAGAGTTGAACAAGGTCCCCGGCTGAAGCCTCAGCTGGGATCAGTTTCTCCCACAGCACATGGGCTGCTCAGGGAAGGGGAATGCTCCAGAAAGGTAATCTGGGTAATACTAAAGGAGGGCATGGATGCTGGGTTGGCAATCAATAAGTGGGAAGCTGATAAGTTGTGATGTCTGGAACGATGTGAGGTATAACTCAAAAAGTCCCCCAAATTTAAGATTAAAATGGGAATGGATGAAGGTGCAACAATTAAAATATGAGATGCATTGGGGGCACAGCAGGAGCTTGTGGTAATGTCCTTCATTTCCCAGACTCAAAGGCAGGTCTATTAATGTGATTCCTTCCTGGCACCTGTCTCCTGGTGCAAGTTCGAGAAAACGTGTATCCAAAGGCAGGGGAAAGAAATTTTATCCACGGAGCTGCAGTCAGGCAGTGGTGCAAGGTCACCCAGAACGGATGCAATTGCTTAGGAGGAGCAAGAGAGAAGGAGCTGAGGCTTTTCAGCAAAAAAAGAGGAGCTGGCAAAGAAGGCCAACCTCAGATGGTCAAAGAATTAGGAGAGCCTAGGTGGGGTGTGGTAGCACAAGCCTGTAATTTTAGCACTCTGGGCTGCTGAGCCAGGAGGACTGCAGCGCAGCCTGGGTAACTGGGCAACTTAGCTACTTAGCGAGACTCTGTCTCAAATTGAAATAATTTTTTAAAAAAGGACTTGGGATGTGGCTTAAAGACCCTGGGTTCCATCTCCAGTACCAAAGAAAACAAAATCAAAACAAAGATAAAGAATTAGGAGGTTTAGCTCAGTGGTTCTGCCACCTGCCTTGAAAGCGCAAGGAACCCAGTTTGATCCCCTGTAGGGAACAGGGGAAGGGCATTACTAGAACCTCTGCAGAAAGTCCTGGTCTCCTGCGAGCCACGGGAGCACAAGGCGAATTACAGGAAAGGTAGAAAAATGAGACTGAGAAGAAGCTGAGTTTTGGGTCTGATCAGTGCTGCTCTGGGCGGCAAAAACGAAAGCCCCCAGTTTACCACACCTTTATTCAGTACATCGGGACAAACAAATGTACCAGATGACTTGCAGAGAGTTCAGTACATCCGCGTAAACAAGATGTAACAATCCAAGAACAAGGAGGAACTGAGTAGATGTTTGTTCCTCCCAGGATGTTCTCAGCTCCCAGGATGTTTCTTGCCCTGGAGAATCACAGCATCACCGGATCACTGAGGTCTCAGTTGTGACCCGAGGCCAAAATGGAGTTATGTCTCGGAATGCCATAGCTGGGCTGTAGGCAGGAGAACTAGGCTAACCAAATGATTTTTCCTTAAAATTATGTAGCATTGCCCCCAACAATCCCTGGTACCAAAAAAAAAAAAAAAGAAAATAACTTTAAAGTGACTAGGGTGTCAGACAAGATGAAGGGAAAATGAATATAAGATAAAGGTAGAGGCCAGTGTCTGGGTGGGCTGATCTCACTCTGTGACAGAAGTGAGGTGCTGAAGGAGGTCAACACTGGTGCTCACAGACCAGCACCAGACTGAGGTAAGTGACAAATGAACCTTGGTTATGTGAGGCCACTGAGATTGGGAGCTGATTGTTACAACAGGCAGCATTAGTGACACAGACCGATACACTACCCAGTTGTTAAAGCCATAGCAGGGCCCAATGCCAACCGTCAAACCTGCCCTCAAAATACCATTGCAAGAGGAATGTGGTGGCACACACCTGTCATCCCAGCACTCTGGGAGGCTGAAGCAGGAGGCTCAAAAGTTCAAGCCCAGGGTAGGCCCAGCCTGTCTCAAAATAAAAAATAAAAAAGGGCTGGGGATATAGCTCAGTAGAAAGGCCCTGGGTTCAATTCCCAGTCCTGGGGGAATGGAGGCATTATGTCATTGGTCAGTGGTCAAGCTCAGCTCAGTCATGGGAATGGCCATCCCATTCCTTTGTCACTCAGGGCCTTCAGGGCCCAATGCAGATATACACAGAGGTTTTTGGCAGAAATGCATGACTGCAGGATCTAAATCACTGGCTTGGACTCAGTGTCCTCAGTCCAGAATGGCTGGACATGATGGGGCAGACTTGGCAGGGAGAGAGGGAGATACAGGCCAATTTTAAACCACTGTCTGGGTTTTCCCAATCAATCCCTATCTGCCATCGTTTGGACTCTTGGCCCAGCATCATGCTCGTGCCCTCAACACATCATGAATGAAGAGCCTTTTAGCCATGCCCAGATACAGTTTCGCTATGGCCGGCCATTGGTCTGCTGGGACAGCCACAACAGAATGCCACAGAGTTGCTTAAACAACAGGCATGTATTCCTCGCAGTTCTGCCGGCCACAGGTCTGAGATCGAAGTGTGGGCATATTGGTTTCTTCTAAGGCCTCTCTCCTTGGCTTGCAGATATCCCTCTTCTTCCCACGTCTTAACACAGTTTCCCTTCTCGGTGTGTCTGTACCTGGGTTTCCTCTGATGAGAATACCATCTGACTTGCCCATGAGCAGTTCCTTCTGGCTGCCATATTGGCCACAGACCAAGGGGGCAAAGGAAGAGCTGTGAAATATCTGAGACACGGGTCCAGGACAAGGGTGGTGGCAGCTGGCACCAGGGTGGTGGCAGCAGAAGTGAGGGAAGTGGGTGGGTTCTGCTTATAATTTGAAAGCAGAGGGCTGAGTTTGGAGGATTTGCTGTTTGATTTTAGGATGTAAAATGGAGAGAGGGGTCAAGGATGCCAACCCCTCTCCAGAGCCCCTACTCTGTGATCTCCAGAGTTTTCTCCCCCATATCTGTAGATAACCCTGCTGCCCTGGCCTGGACTCTCTCCCTCTGCTTGCTGGCAGGAAGGTGGTACTCAAAGGATGGAAAGCAAGATTGCAGCAAAGTGCTTTCTTCTGTGGTCAACAGGAGTACCAGACTCAAAGTCCCTCTGAGAGCAGACAGTTGGCTGTAAGAAGGGACAACCAACCTCTTCCCTCTTTTCAGTATCAGTACAGCGCTCAGTACAGGATACTCGGATACCAGGCATGAGGGGTTTTCCCACACCCAGCAATTCTCCAGCAAACATCAGCTGGATGTTCTAGAATTCAGTTCAGTTCCAACAATATCTACTTGGGGTTCAACTCAGGTCCTGCAGGTGGGGGGCTCAGCCCCACAAGACTGCTCCCCACCTCAGATTCCAACTGCAAATTCCATCTACACTTCTGACTATAAATTGTAGGGCCTTATAATCCCTTCCTTAGGTTCAATTAATTTATTAGAGTGGCTCCTAGAATTTGGGGAAATTCTTTACTTACCATTGTCATTTACCACAAAGATTTTGGGGGCAGTACTGGGGATTGAACCCAGGGCTTTCACATTAAGCTACATCTCCAGCCCCAGGGTCTCACTGTTTGTTTGTTTTTTTTGAGACCCGGTCTCACGAAGTAGTTCAGGCTGGCCTTGAACTTGTGGTGATCCTCCTGCCTCAGCCTCCTGAGTTCTGGGATTACAGGCACCACACCCAGCAAGATACTTTAAAGGATACAAATGCCTAAAATTTCATGCAATTATTATACATCAATTAAAAATAAAACATATATATGTATATGTACATCAGAGGAAAAACAAAGAGTACAGGGCAGACAGTCAGATGAGGACATGGACGGAGAATGGCTGGAAAGGGTCCCGAGGATAACAGCTTCTGTCCCCAAGACAGTGGGAGCTCGACTGTCCCAGCTTGCTGGGGCTCAGCCGTTAGGGTTTTAAGAAGACCTCATTCTGGCTGCTGTCAAGAAATCAACCAATAGCAAATGCTGGAGGGGCTGTGGGAAAAAGGAGCCCTGCTCCACTGCTGGTGGGAGCATAGACTGGTGCAGCCACTGGAAATCAGTGTGGAGATACCTGACTAGAGGTCCCATTTGAGCCAGCTATTCTCCTTCTTGGTATCTTCCCAAAAGAATTAAAAGCATCCTACCACAGTGATATATGCACACCCATGTTTATAGCAGCAGTTTGTAATAGCTAAAGTTGGAAACACCTCAAATACCCACAATGGATTAATGGATAAAGAAGATGTGGTTTTTTATACAATGACGTACTACTCTGCCATAAAGAAGGATGACCTTCAGACTGTAGCTAAATGGATGGACCTCGAGACCATACTCCTAAGTGAAATAAATCAGACACACGTGTGTAAATACCACATAGTTTCTCTGGTGTGAGAAACCGAAAGTGGAAATAAGGACCGAAATGTGTGAAGGATGTTGGGAAACGGGAAGAAAATGTTCAAGTGGGAAAGGGAACAAGGGACAGGGGAAGGAGAAAGGAAGGAAGGGACAAGAAAAAAAAGTAAAATATAGAAGGAAAAAATGGAAACAAAGCTTTGGTACACAGGGAGGGGAGGGGAGGGGCTTGACGGAAGTGGGGAAGGGGAAAAAGAGCCAAGATACATATGTACAGGCGTAAATTCCCTATGATGAGTGCTCTCATTATGTATATCTAAAATGTTCCAATAAATGTTTTGCTTAAAAAAAAAAAAAAAAAAGACGGCCCGGGGATTTAGCTCAGTGGTGACGCCACCTGCCTCGAAAGCACAAAGTCCCAAGTTCGATCCCCGGTACCAAAAAACAAAACAAAACAAACAAACAAAAAGAAGACCTCATTCTATAGCCATGACTGATTACATCATTGGCCACTGGTGATCAACACAATCACACAATTGTCATGGGGGTGGGACTGAGAGTTCCTGCCCTTGAATCTTCTGATTGGTTTCCCTGGTAACCAGCCCCTTCCTGAAATCATCCAGCAGCCACCAGGAGTCGCCTTGTTAGAACCAGAGATGCTCCTATCCCCCCCCAGGATATCCTAAGGGGTTTAGGAGCTTGGGCTCAGAAGCTCCTATTACTCAGAAAATGACTGAAGTTTTAGAAGCTCCATGTCAGGAAACCTTGACCGGACCAACTTGCATATTTCTTATTTCACAGCAGTAGAGGTCTGCAGAGATCGTGGGTTCTACAGACAGGTATAAATACTGCTTCAAGCACTCCTGAGCTTGTGTGGCTCTGGACAAGCCCCTTCATCTCTTGAAGCTGTTTTTTCATCTGTAACCGAGACCAGAAATTGTGGCTTTGTTGGGAGAGTTGTGAACTGAATGAGGTAACACATGTATGAAAATTCCCTCACACAAGACTGGATCTGGCTTAACATCCCTTATTTCTCCTTTCCCTTAGGTTACAGGGTTCTGAATGCTCCCCTCAAGGAATTCAAAATTTTTTTTAAATCAACATGATGGAAGTATGATTAATATACAATAACTTGAAGGCATTTACAAAGTAAAGTTCAATGAGTTTTGACTTGTGTATTTGACTTAGTTACTTTCTCATCACCAGGACCCAATACCTGATGCCCAAAAGGTAAAGGAGGAGAGGTTTATTTTGCCTCATAGTTTGTAGAGGCTTCAGTCCATAGTCGCCTGGCTTCCAGGCAGGGCGGGATAGCAGAGGGCCATCACAGAGGAGAAACAATCTATGACATGGTAGAGAGGAAAGCAGGATCAAGGGAGGAAGAAGGACCAAGAGGAGGAGGAGAGATATATATACCCCTCCCAGGCCACTCCCACAGTGACCCACCAGGCTTGATCTCCTATCACAGCCAGCTATAAACCCATCAATGAACTAATCCAGTGATGAATATCATCACACACCCCTGATCCATTCACCTCCCCAAAGTCTCCCTATTAGAGCATGAGGCTTTGGGGGGACATCTAGATATAAACCATAATAGTACTCCTGTAAAATTACCATGATAATTAAAACACAGGATACTTTACTCCCCCAAAGAGTGCTCGTGCTCCTTTGTGATTTATCCCACCCTCCACCTCAGCTCCAGGAACAATGAACCTGCCTTCTGGCATTACAACAAGTTTGTGTGTTGTAGAATTTGATATAAACAGAATGAGAGAGCTTTATTAGCAGCTTCTTTCACTTACCATCATGTTTATGAGGTTCAACCATGTTTTTATGAGTATCCATAGTTCATTTCTTTTTATTACCGAGTGGCAAGTCCTGTCCATTGTATAGATGCATGACAATTTATTTGTATCATTCAGCAGTGGATGGATATTTAGATTGTTTCTAGTTTTTGGCAACTGTAAATAGTGCTGCTGTAGCGTTCCTGTCCAAGTGTCGGTGTGGACATACATTTTCATTTGTCTTTGGTAAATACATTGGAGTAGTGTTATAGACTTACTGTATGTGCCCCCCACCCAGTTCATATCTCAAAACCCTAACTCCAATATGTTAAGGTTAACAGGTCATAAAAGTGGGACCCTGATCTGATAGAGTTAGTGTCTTGATAAGAAAAGACATCAAAGATGGAGCCTCTCTCTGTCTCTCTGTCTCTCTCTCTATCCACAAAGAAACTCATGGAAGACACGTGAGAAAATGGCAGTCTTCGCACCAGGAAGGAGTGATCAGCAGGAACTCAACTGGCCAGCTCCTTGATTGCAACCTTCCAGCCTCCAGGACCATGATAAAATAAATCTCTGTCATGTAAGCCACTTAGTCTATAGTATTTCCTTATGGAGCCCAAGCACTTTAATCTTGGACTTCCCAGGATCTAGAATTGTGAGCAATTAATTTCTATTATTTATAAATTACACTAAGCTGGGTGTGGTTGTTCATGCCTATAAGCACAGCACTTGGGAGGCTGAGGCAGTAGAATTGCCATGAGTTTGAGGCCAACCTGGGTTACGTAGTCAGTTCAGCCTGAACAACATAGTGAGACCTTGTCTCAAAAAACAAAAACAAAGCAAAATTACCCAGTCTAGGACTAGGGATGTAGATCAGTGGTAGAGTACTTGCTTAGCATGCATGATATCCTGGGTTTAAATTCAGCCCCACAAAAACAAAGCAAACAAACTGATTTCCCAGTCTATGGTATTTTTGTTACAGCATATTGAACAGAGTAAGACAAGTGGGTAATGTACTTAACTCTTTTTGTGTGAGTGGTTCTAAGGCTAAGCCCAGGCCCTTTGCCTTGAGCTACATCCCCAGTCCTTTATTATTTATGTATTTTTTGAGATAGGGTCTTGCTAAGTTGCCTAGGCAGGACTTGAACCTATGATCCTCCTGTCTCAGCCTGCCGAATGCTGGGATGACAGGATTGTGCCACAGTGTCCAGCCATACGTTTAACTTTTAAAGAAACTGCCAAACAGATTTCCATAATGGTTGCACCATTTTACATGGCCACTAGCAGCATTTTTTACTATCTTGGAGAAACATTGTTAATACAAGAAGACAAAAGAGCTTGCCAAGTCACCCCTGAGACTGTCACTGTTTATGTCTAATTACCATGCAGCACCACAATTAAGCAGTTTATCAAGCTTTTGGAGCTGTGCTGCTCAATGGATTCTATTGTAACACAAGACACTTCCATCAGTGCTGGGGTTGTTTTTATTCACTTGTGGTTATTGATTTTTTATTCATGAGGATATACTTTAAGCTTCCTAGCATAGTTTATAATATAGTTTTATATATATGAAATGAGAGAACACATATGGAAAAAATCCATCTCTTTCTTTGTCTGTTCTCTCTCACACTTTCATTTTCCATCTCTCACAGACAGGTAAACACACTAACTTGGAAAGCACCTTTGGTAAATCAGGTCTGGAGAACAATCAGCTCAATCATGGTGATCTATTACAAGTAACTTCTAATCTATCTGGCCCCTTCCCCCACACTCAGAGAAGAGGATTTTTAAAATAAACTTTTAATTTTAGAACAGTTTTACTTTGACAGAAAAGTCGTTAATATGATATGCAGTCCTCCTGTACCAGTGAGGGAAAACCTTTTAGAGGTGAGTGCCCAACCTGCAACCCAAAATCCACCTATTTATCTCAAAGTGCCAACATTGCAGTTAAACCCAAATACTGAGGTTTTAGTTTAGAAAAAACAACTCATACATTAACTTCTTTTGTCTTAAAAGAAAAACAAGCCAGTGCGGTGGTGTGTGCCTGTAATTCCAGCACCTGGGAGGCTGCGGCAGGAGGATTACAGTGAGTTCAAGCCAGCGTGGGTTACATAGTAAGTTCAAGGCCAGCCTGAATTACATAGCAAGACCTTGTCTCCAAAGAAAGAAAGAGTTGAATGTTTTGTAGAATGCCCTCTATTTGGAGCTCCCTGCAGTTTTTCTCAGATTGGTTTTGGGTCTGGGAAAGATGGAAACTCCCACTCTTCCTTCTCACATGAGTCAACGGCATGCACTACACATGCGGCTTGTCACTTTATCAACTGCCCAAGGTAGCATTTGTCAGGTTTCTCCACTGGAGCATCACTGAGCCTAGGCGCCAACTCCTTTGCGCTGCTCTCTAGCGGGAAGTCGTCATCCTTGGAGTGGGGAGTTAAGCTCCTCCTCCCTCAGCCAGGAGTGGGTGCAGCTGTGTAGATTATTTGAAATTCTTCAGCATGTTACATTTGCCTCTTCCTCAGTTATTCATCTATTCAGTCACCTGTTTATATCAGTATGGACTTGTGGGTATCTATTTTATACTTTACGGCAGTGATGGTGAACCTTTTAGAACTTTCAGTGATAACAAAGAGGCTGCTATGGCATGTGGGCCATGCTTGCCACCGTTGCTTTAGGGTATAATCCAATACAGTCAGCTCTCCATATCTACAGGGTCAGCCAATCATGGATTTAAAAAAACATATGTTCAAAATATTAGCACGAGGACCCAAGTTCGATCCCCCGTACCAAAAATAATATTCTTAAAATGTATATTAAAAACATATTTGGGGGGTATTGAGGATTGAATCCATGTCAGATTGGGCCTTCATACTGAGGTACGCCCCCAGCCCTTTTTAAATTTTTTGTTTTGAGCCAGGGTCTCACTAAATCACTAATTTTCCCAGGCTGGGTTCAAACTTGGGATCGTCCTACTTCAGCCTCTCAGGGTGCTGGGTCTATAGGCACACAATAAAGTGGCACTCAGAGGACAGACAGACCAAGGAAGAGAGCAGCCCTCAGAGAATTGAAGGGAAAGGCAGGTTTATTCACTAGCTAGCCGGCCCAACAGAAGTCAACTTCCAGAGTCTGAACCCCATCTCTGAGTTTGTTCTCATATTTATCTGTTGTTTAGCCAGGCTGTGGGAGCAAGCAGAATTTTACAGAAGCAGAACTTAGCAAAGGGTAGGGAGGTGCAGGTAAATGTTGTTTTTATAGCTTATCTTTAAGACATAGGGAGGTAGGCAGCTGTGTTTCAGCAGTTCACCTTCCGGACACCGTGACCTTCATGAGTTTAGCAGGAGGGGTAAGGCTTAGAGCGTCAGCCTTGAGACTGTCAGTCTCTGCTCTGTCTTTTGTTTTTTTTCATTTCAACACCACCACACATTGCTTGAAAATATTTTTTAAAAATTGTGTGTGTACTGAACATGTACAAGTTTTTATTTCTCATTACTATTCCCTAAATAAGAAAAACATAGAACATTTACATTGTATTAGGTATTATAAGTAATCTAGAGATGACTTAAAGGTTTGTGTGTGGGGGCTATATGCAAATATATATTTTATATAAAGGGCTTGAGCATCTGTGGGTTTTTATATCCGTGGGGTCCTGGTATCAATCCCCCACAGATAGTGATGGCTGACTGTACTATGCTATTTATTTCGTTGCTCAAACCATTCCAGTTTTGCTTTGGGAGTGTGAGAGTGTGTGTGTGTGTGTGTGTGTGTGTGTGTGTACTACTGGGGATTGAACCTAGAGGCACTCTACCACTGAGCTACACCCTCAGCCCATTTTTTATTTTGAGACAGCGTCTTGTTAAGGTGCTAAATTGCCCCAGCTGGGCTTGAACTTGTAATCCTCCTGCCTCAGCCTCCGAGAGAGCTGCGATTACAGGTGTGCACCACCATCCTGGCTCAGTTTTGGGCATTGGGAACGCTTTCAGTGGCTCCTGTGTCCCTTTGACAAGTCTGATCTCTGTGTGAGTGTGTTCAGCATTCCCTTACTCTCCAGTCCTGGAAGATGCTCTAGGCTCCTTTGTGTATTCCCTGTCCCAGCCCCAGAATCAGCCTTCTCTCCAAGGTGTCTGGGATCCTTTTATCAGTAAATGGTACCAGAAATCAAGATCTGGCCACTGGGTGTGAGTTGCTTGTAGGCCTGCTCAATGTAGAGCATGCACACTGTGCCATGTGTCAGTCCATGCATCTCCACACCTCTAGAAAGCCTTCTAGATGCGTCCGTCTGTACCCGTATTAAGCTGAAAACTCGTTGGCGCTGATGTCCCATCTCTCACACCGAGTACCACACAGATCATTCTAGCTTTCCCTCCTTTGCTCTCACCAGCCATTTGCCGAATTCTTTGATTCTAGTCTGCACATATGGTGTGATTTCAGAATTGTTAACCTGAGCTCCTGTGGGAAGTCATTTTAACAATCACCGTTCCTTTTGCCTTTAGTTTTACGGACTGCACTCATTTCCAAAATGATGGAGGTCAACACCTTTTCCCCCATCCAAACTGTGTTTCCTACCTCAGTCTCTTCTCCTGCCAATAAACCCAGCCTGGGGGGCTCCCACTGTGATGTTCTCTATGACAACTGGACTCCATGCCCTACTGGGTCTCACCTGTCCCACTCAGCTGACACTGCCCTTCCCCACATGATGCAGTTGAATCCTTCCAACCCACCCAGCAAGCCCTGTAACCTCCAGGGTGAACAAGCCCAAGTCTCCACTTCTGCCTGAGGACGGTTGCTTGTCCCTCTGGGCCACGCAGCAGGGGCTGGCCAGCCTGGGTCCTGGCCAAGCTGTCCAGCCCTCCTGCTGCTCTGCCTGGATACAGGGGACCTGCTCAGGTTACCCAGAGGATCACTTTGCCTTAGAAACTCCAGCTGTCCCCTCAGGCGCATCAGTAACTGATGCCAAGGCCCTGAACAGCAGAGGGTTGGCAGCAACCAAGTGTCCCTGGTGTCCCAAGAACACTGTACCTTGTCCTCTGTGACCACTGCAGCCATCGGTGCGGAAGGTGAGCGAGTGTGGGGCGAGTACAGCACATAGCAACCTGGGATGGGCCTTGAGATGTCTCCCACTTGTGCCCTGACCAGGTCCAGCCTCGTCAGGAGCCCGGATCCCGCAGCCAGGAGCAGGTGCAGAGGGAAAGGTCAAACTGGGGGCTCGGTGGTGGGAGAGTGCTCGGGACACTTCAGAGAGCTTGGGCTGGCTCAGAAGCCCCAAGGGTCTGAGTGTCGCCAGCCTCCTCGGCCAACTGGGCTCCCCAGGTTGGGTACAGATGTCACAGGATGCCTGCTCTGGCCTTTGATAGCCTTGCCACCCTGTCTAGGTGGGCGGTTCAGAACAGTTAAACATGGGAAGGGGATTGTGAGTCCAGACCTGAATTCGGTTCCCAGTCAGCACTCCCTTTTTGTGGTACTGGGGATTTGAACCCGGGCCTTCACACTGAGCTACATGCCCAGCCCTTTTTGTTTATTCTGAGATAGGGAATTCAGTCACTGAGTTGCCCAGACTGAGCTTAAACTTTTGGTCCTCCTGCCTTT